GGAAAGCATAGCCATTATTTCTGGATCTGATTCAGGCATTGCTACGGTCCCGGAGGAGAGCAGCGCAGCCGAATCTTCCTCTCCAGAAAGCTCTTGTTCACCCTCCGATGCTGCAATCGACATCCGATCGTCGGGTGGAGCCTCAGAAGAAACAGGTGGTACCCCCCGGGAGGGCCCAGCCTGCTCTTTTTGAGAGCTCCGCTGGTTTCGAAGTGCCGGCGGGCTTGGGCATCCCCAGAGGGGAATTCCTCACCGTGACCGTAAGACCAGTCCGCCCACCGCCAGAAAAAGGACGCCCCCGGCTGCCACCAGAGGGAACCCCAGATCTAGGCAGTGGCATGGGCACTCCGCCCCCTTGCAGGTAACGGAGTCCGGTCCGCAACGCCGAGATGGTCATATCCCCGCAATGGGAGAATGAACCATCCCCGAAAGCCACCTCAGCGTGCTTCATGCCCAGGCACGAGAGGCAGCGATCGTGACCATCACCCAGCACCAGGTAACGACCGCATCCAGAACGCCCGGGTGATACGTTGTCTATAGCAAGACCCACATCGTCTTTATAAAGACGTAACGTCAAGTTTGCCAAGCAACGTCGTCTTTAAAAAGACGCACCCGAAATTGCTCTTTTAGAGGAAAAAGCTTTTTTAGCGTGCTGAGGTGCACAGGGAAGATGATCATCTGCAACACAAACAGGGGGTAGTGCAGCCTGATGTGTGCAACCCACTCGACACGGGAAACCACCACCGCTGAAGCGCCGTCCGCCAACACGAAGAGCTCTCCAAGAGCACGCTGAACTTGTTCAGTCTTCTTCTCTCAGTAGAGTAGTCAGGAGCAGAACGATGTGATCGCTCGGCTCCGAAGCGAAAAGCTGAATATGCGCTGCATCTGCTGCCTACTTATACTCAACGCTGTGATCAGCAGCAGCTGGATGCAATAATCGCATGCCAATGTGCATTGGCTCGTTTAGTTTACACTCGAAGTAGATTGGTCCCTCTAAGCGAGATCCCAATTTCGTCGGTCATCCGACGTGACGTCGAGAGTGACCGACTGAAAGGGAACCAAAGACAATATTTTTGTCATTAATGTATTTTGTCACTTTGATAAGCTGTTGAG